GATTGGAGCTGTGTATGAGAGCACTAGATCCTTTTAGAGGTGCACTTGTGAGTTACTCCTCCAGAAACTGTACCTGGATGATGGAAGCATTCAGCGATGCTTCCGACTGAGCCGAGCCCAGTTTGATTAACTGTTGTTCAGTGTCAGCAGGAGGATTTTCCCCCGGCACACCAGCAACAGGCGCTATGTCATAATCACACAAGACAATGCTCATGATTGGTTAACGCGGCGCAAATGTCTGCTAAAGTTCAGATTTTCCAACTCCACCAAATCGCCCAAGACGCGCGAATCGTATCATTAGCGCTGCCTCATTTGCACATATCACACTGCAGGATCTCTATTCACGCCTTTGCATTGACTTAACATGTAAATTGTATGTGCTTGACGCTTCATCCGCATCTGGAGTGAACGCAACATTAGATGTTGGCTAGACATTGAATTTTGGTCACCTGACTTCAGGACCTAAATCTTACCTAATGTTAACATCTTATGATACTGTGTGCCTGCTGGGCAATAAGTAAATGCTCTACAGAATGTTACATTTACATCCACTAATTAGATGTAAATGCATCAGCTTTTTACAGTGTACTGTAATACTCACTACTCACTATTCTTGAGTACTTTTAAAAGTTCTTTTACTCATACTTGGACCCTACTTGCACTATGTTTTTAGGCAAGTAATGGTACTTTTGCTTGTGTGATTTTTCAGTACTCTCTCCATCACTGTTGAATATGTCACCATTTTCAAAAACTTGCTTTTACTGTTTTTGTCCAGCAAAATGCTGTTGTCTTGTAAATGAATGGGCAAAACGCATAAAGAGCTTTGTTTTTAGCTGACAATGGCATCACGTAAATGTCTGCTTAGATAAAGGGAATATAGGCAGTGTAGATGTGGCTGTTGTGGTCGTGATGTGGGGCTCTTTTGTGTTTTATTGCGAGAGACTGAGAGAATAGGTCTTGCATGGTTTCGTTCAGTAAACATACTGCCAAGTTAAATGGCTGATCAATCAATTTCACCGGAATCGATCTGAATCAGTTCAGCCTGCGTGCACACACAGGGAGCCACTTTATTGTAAATCAATCATTTTGAAAACATCTCACAAAGGGGCCAGTCCTTACTAACAAGCCATAAATTTAAACTTACAGGGTGCCACCCTTATCAGCCTACAAATCAGGAGCGCAGCCAACATCTGCTCCACTTCCTCCTCTCTTCATTTCAGCTTGCTGGGTCAAGCTCAGATGTAGTGTTGGAAAGAAAGGAAAATAAATAAGAACAAAGTAAGACCAGGCTAATATCCAGTGATGTAAAGTAACAAATTGCAAATTCTTAAATTTAATTGAACAATTTTTTTTCTAAGGAAATGTGTACTTTTACTTGAAAACTTTTTTTTTGTGCTCTACTTTTACTCCACTACTAAGTTTACTCTTGTCTACGGTGATTGCCTATGTATGATTACCATCCAAACAAATTGCAAATTGAAAAATTAGTCAGACCTCAAGACACAGACGCTTTATAAATGCTGTAAATATGTGTAGTGAGGAATAGGGCTGGACGGTACTGAAAAAATCTGCCATTGCAGTATTTTGTTTTACTGCGATCATACATTGTGATCGGAATATAATTTCAGCTGCTGATTTATAGCTCTTTTTGGAAAGATTTCAATAATTTAGATCAATTGGGGTGATCTGCATAAAATATCATACATGACAATCATTTATACAGTAAATAAACCAGAGCAAAAATAAAAGTGAAATCAATAACAGTGTTTTGTGGTTTTCTGTGGGGTTGAACAGTATTCTAATACAACAATGTAACACTCAAATGTAACATGGTCATGATTGTATAAAGAATTTGATACAATAATATCAAAAATAATATTGAAAATATCTTTAATATTTAATAAACAATCTAATCCTGCGATGAGACTATTGAACATACACACATCGATGCTAAAACCATATATTGTTCAGTCCTAGTGTGGAAGCATTAATAGTGTCCAAGAAGAAAATAATTGTTTCATGCTCAATGCACTACAGAATGTTCCGATTTCAAACACACACACACACACACACACAAACACACACACACACACACACACACACACACACACACACACACACACACACACACACACACACACACACACACACACACACACACACACACACACACACACACTGCATGGATTCTATCAATGCTGCATGAGCTTGGTTTGCGGCACCAACTGCTCGACACTCATAGCTTGTTAGTCAGGGATCAAAGTGCATTACCTACTGTAAATGTGAACATATCGACACAGCTAGAAGCTTGCTCCTTAGGTTACACAGATTTCACACCGAATGTAATCATAAACACCTTGAGCTACATTTTCTTTTTATTTGGAATAACTGCCATAGCTTATATTACTCACTACTCTTGAGTACTTTCAGATATTTTGCTCTTACTTTGAGTTGTGTTTAGAATATTTTTTTTTTTCTTGCACTATGGCAAGTGGTGGTATTTTTACTTGTGAATTTAAGTACATTTCACCATTGCTAGTATCTCTCTCTCTCTCTCTCTCTCTCTCTCTCTTTCTCTCTGCTATTCACATGATATTTTCATTATTCTAATTAATCGTTAACAGTTTATATTTACCACCATTCTTTGCATAGGTCATTTGATGCTGTGATGAATGTCACAATAACAGGGTTTGGTTTAGCTTTGCTGCACCACGTTCTTTCTGTCGTTTCAGGATGGATCATCTATAGAGTAAGTTTAGTGAGTAGGAGCAGAGGGTAAACTTTAGAAAGCCACTTTAAATTCTAATATGTGAACACCTGAGCAGTTTAATGTATTGTAAAAAACAATTACTTAAAGCAATGGGTTTACTTACTTTTTTCTTTTAAAGTGATTAGTTGACTTCTTAAAACCTGAGCGAACCTTGTTGACTTATAATTTCTAGATAAATGAATTGTGCATAATAAAAATAAAAAACAAGTAAACGTTATAGTTACAAATTAGTAATAAATCATTTATAATATTAAATAGTTTAAAAAATGTTTTAGCAAAGTCAACTTGTCGCTTGAAAAGGCTCACCATTAAACAAACTAATTGCTTTTACAGCCTATGATTAGCAGCTTAATTGTAAATTGGCTTTAGGGCTGAAATAATATAAAAAAAAAAATAAATAAATAAATAAAATAGTTTTAGTGACTAAATAGGGTTTTGACCTTTTTTGAGATTGTTTTGTTTTAAATTTGAGGTAACTGTGATGGATGAAATAACCAATTTTAGTCATGTAAATTTTTTGCAACAATAACAAAAAAATTGAATCGGAAACGGAACCGCGTGGATTCACTCACTAAATCGTGGAGATTGCCTCAGTAAAAACTTGTATTTATGATTATTCTGTCAACATTAGATAATTTGTTTATAGAATTTTTATGTTAGATTAGATAGAGAATACATGTATAGATCATGCTTTCAATGAAACATTTGCAGTGGATAATAATTTCACCTTAGGTTTTGTATGTGGTGTATCAAACACTTAAGAGTAAATCATTTTGTGAATTAATTGGTTTATTTTATAGCTTCCAAAATCTTTGTTTCCCCTATTGTTTATTTATAGTGACCTGTATATACTGTATTAGAGGATTTTCCCAAAGGAAAGATCCCCTTGATGCTATATCAAGATACTGGTCATATTATCATTATTATAATTTTAAATATATTGCCATAATCTCCAAAATATAAAACATTCATTAACTTATTCATTTTACTTTGGCTTAGTTCCTGATTTATCAGGAGTTGCCACAGTTTGATGAACCACCAGCTATTCTGGCATATTTTTTACACAGCACATGCTGTTTCAGCCACAACCCTGTGCTGGGAAAAATATATGCAACATATTTGAGCTAATTTACTTGTTTGTTGTTTAAAATAAGCAGAATAATGTCTCTGTTTGTGCATCTCACTCAGTTTTGCTGCAGTGCAAATAAATGAGATTGTCATGCAGACAAACTGACCATCACTAATGAAAACCTGTCTTAAATATTGTATCCATGATGCAGCCATCTTTATTCTACTAACACCACCATTTAATGTAGTGAGCTTTAAAGTAATTGATTTTAATATCCATCTAAGTAGTACAATGAAATATTGGCAATATGTATCAGTATGTGCATCAATATAATTCTGTTGTGGAAAATAATACCATGGTGTATCAATATTTCCCCCCCACCCCTAATGTTACAGTATGTAAACTAGCTTTCAGTTTTTATTAGATAACAAATGTATAACAAGGGCAGTAAAGCATGGTGATACAGTGGGTAGCACAACCACCTCACAGCAAGAAGGTCACTGGTTTGAGCCCCAGCTGAGTCAGTTGGCATTTCTGTGTGGAGTTTGCGTGTTTTCATGGGTCCAAAGACATTTGCTGTAGGTGAATTGAATGAACTAAATTGGCTTTATTGTGTAAATGCAAGAGTGTATGTGTGTTTCCCAGTGTTGGGTTGCAGCTGGAAGGGCTGTGTAAAACATATGCTGGAGAAGTTGGTGGTTCAGTGCGCTGAGGCCTAATTACTAAGCCAGGTGTGCCAAAACTCAGCCCTGGAGAGCCGGTGTCCTGCATAGTTTAGTTCCAATTTCCTTTAACACACCTGCACCTGCCTGAAGTTTCTAGTAAAGCAAGAAAGAGCTTGATCAGCTGGTTCAGGTGTGTCTAACTGGGGTTGGAAGTAAACTTTGCAGGACACCGACCCTCCAGGACCGAGTTTGGGCAGCGCTGGACTAAGCCAAAAAGAGAATGAATGAATGAAAATGAAAGTCAAAGTCTTTTAGTCATTAAAATAATTAAACAGATTAATCTTTCTAATAATCATTGGGTTAAATGATAATGAAAAGTCCTAATTACTTGTTTATAATTAGTAAAAGACGTTCAAATATAGTCAACGTTGTGTGTGTGTGTGTATTCAATCTAATGTAGTGTTAAATGAAGTAATGACGCAATATACCAGTCACCTGTAGAACACAAATACATCCATTTTAATTTGAGAAAATACAAAAAGAAACCATGTACAATTTATGTACAAACTTTTTGTACAAGACAGTATGTTTATCAGCAGGTTATATTTGACAGAGTCAGGTAGATCAGCTCAGCACCATCACGTCCTCCAATCAAATCAGTCATATTCCGCTATGACAAACTCCTTTTTCCTGTAATGAATATGCCAATAAGTACATGTATAGATGGATGTTTCGATCATTTATTGAAGTGGAAGAAAAGACAGCAACAAAATAGTAATCCATACGCAAGTTCAGCATGTTAAGACTTAATTCCCTCCAAGTGTTTCTATTCTGTTACAGTGTGTTTCCTTTATACAGCAGTTTAGTCTATAAACGTAACTCTTTCCTTTACAGTAGAATAAAGTAGCCAAAATATGACAGTTGTGTATTACATACAGTAGCACATCAGTAAGGTTGCTTTATATGTTACTTTAATTAAAACACTCTTGAATACATTGACAGGTGAGCCTATGTAAACATCATAGTCAGTTCTACGTAGCATCACTCAGTCATTGTGGTCTTTTTTCCCCTCAGTATCTATAAGGTATCAAAGGTGCTTGGATTTCAGCAGCTCGCACAGGTCTTGTGCCCATCTGAATGCCACTTTTCGCTCTAGTGGGTCTTCCGCTGTTCCTCCTTTGGTGGTCCTGCACTGCCTGGCACTGTCCTGGCATGGAGGCAAAGATGGCTTGGATGTTCTCCATGCCAGTGTTAGACGCCATCATATTCATCAAGACCCAATGACTGACTGATGCTAGTAGACGATACATGTCATGGCACTGATATGTGTACACTCTAGTATCTTCACAAGATGTACAAATAAATTGCATGATACTAAAATATTGCACATTTGTTGCAATGGAGCAGAAAATAGCTGTATCGCTTTGAAAGGTAACCATAAGAAAACGTAAGCCTGCTTTTTGTTTAGTCGTCAGGATCGCTACCTGAGAATGTGTTTTGACAAAGAAAGAAAGAAAGTCTGTAAACAAACAAGCCATTTTGACATTTTCAAAGTATGTGTGATTGTAACGGATGACAAAATGGAATGTAAAATGGTTAATTACCCCTGTGTAAAAGAGCTAGTTCTGCATCTACACTCTTCTCATCAAATGAAACCTGCTGTTGCGCGATCGGCTTTCCTTTGTAATGCGCTTTCATTACAGGAAAAGGACCGCACGGAGACTAAAAATATCGGACATTTAACGCCAATGGATTTTTTATTTTTTTTTGCTCAAAGTCTTTTTCAGGCTAGCAAGTATGTCGACAATCCAATTTTACATACATTTTACTCACATTAGTATTATTGTTTTTTTTTTAAGAAATCTACTTGCTACAAAGTGTAACACCAATGTAATCACAATCAGAAAATCACTTCAGGACAAAGCCTAATTGTCCAGTAGACAAACGATAAAGCTGAGATCCTTTTTTTTTATTTGAGAAAATAAACGTTGACTAGAATGGGCAGATTTCTAAAACAGTTTTCTATTCTTTCGCCTAATGGATGGACAACGTCTCTTTTCTACAGTGATATGGCTATTAGCATCAGTGTGCTCTCCTCTCTAGCGAGACCTAATTTAGGCCAAACATCACTACTATTACCGTAACCTTATGACAGAAAGAGCAGAGCCCCCTCCTCATGCGTGAGTTCATGTCAACATCGCTTTACCTGGAATTACACAAAAGTGTGAGTAGTCATTTATCTGTTAGCTTATGAAAATGAAAGCATGTTTGAGTAGTAGGTCCTTCAAAGCAGCCCGCGTGAGCTGATGGAAAGGTAAATTCCACTCGGGTTCACAGATCTTTGACGTGTCCCGGTTGATGTTACGTGATATGTCAGGGGGCTAAAATTGAAGAAACCCAACCGCCGCTGCGCACTGTAGCTAGTAAGATATCTTTAAGATACATTTAGAAATAAAGTTCTCTGATATGTATAAAAATAAGTACAAAATGATTACGCTCATGGATAAAAAATAAGTATGTACTTATGTATAAATCTGACAGAGCACTTGAAGCCAAGTTCAAAGGTCTGTGAAGCATTTGTATCAGTACACGTTCTACTTTAAGCTGTAGCCTCGGTAGACGTGAGTGATGTTCAGATCTGTTTAGTCCACAGCAAAGTTACATCTTTGGCTGATAATTGAACAATATTATTGAGCTTGTGTGATTGAGCATCATGGTTGGTCACAGGGAACATCCAAGCACTTTAACCACCCCTGTGCCAACCCTGTGCCAGGCAGTGGCAACACCCAAAGGAGGAACCGTCGGTGCCCACTTTTCGCAATATGTGGCATTATTTTCAATTCATTCAGAAGATTATTTGAGTTTGGAAGCTCAATCATTGTTGAATTATCAGCAGGTGATATTAGTGTTTCATTCAGTCGCATTAATAGCAGAGCCGCAGACAAACATTAGAAGCCTCGATCACTAGCAGTCATGGATGATGGAAAGACGTCAACAGAAGTAGTGCATATCCTCAGTGTATTGCCAATTCCGAAGAGCTACGTTGGGGATGGCCATTTGCAAACATTTCCATGTGCCTAAACAGTCTGCGGGGATGGAAATGGGCATCCTTTTTTGAGCCTCGGTTTACTTCGGGCAGCCTTCAGCACACACCATGCACCAAACAAACACAGCCATTCGTTTAACAGCCTCAGCCTGTGATGTCAGACCCCAACTCAGAGGAGAAGCGAGGGAAAGCTTTGACTCTTTCGTCAGTTATTAAATGGTAGTGCAAAAACCAAATGGACAACAGATACACGACTCAATCGATGGGGCTGATCTTTGGGTAGTGTTTGGATGAAGTGAGCGAGGGTGACCCTCATCCTCCATAATAGCGCCCTCTGCATGGAGTCAGGTCACAGCAGAGGTGAGATAATGCAAAGAATCACAGGAAGTATCTTTTTTTTCTTCTATTTTTTTTTCTTTTTTGTTCGCCTGTTATTTTAAAAAGTGCTAGGGGCTGTACAATCCTTACTTGATTGTCATTATGTACATCACTATGTATACATATACAAAAGTATGGAAGTAACATTAAAGGTATACACATAGGAAGTCCCTTCTAGTCCTCGATCGCTTCGAACCCTCGAGTGGAACAAGGGAAGAACAATGTGTCGGCGTCATCACAGTCAGCGTTTCACGAATAGCGCTCGTCTTTTACAGCAGGATGACCCAAGTTCCCTCAGTGATAAGAAAGGCCGGGGGATTTGTTCAGCATTCGTCTTCGACTTCTCGGATAGGTGGAATCAGACTGCTAGTGGATTTGTACTGATTGACTTGGTTGGCCATGTGAGTGCTCATAGGCTTGATTTGAATGTTCCTTGGGTATGCGTTTTCTGCTTCATCTGTAAACCATCTCTTTTCTGGGAGACAGCCAGGGCAGGAGACAAGTAGAAGACGAGAAACATAGTGTTAAAATCAGATCTGTACAGCAGGGTCATGCATATCTCTCTCTAAAAAAAAAAAAAAAAACCCACCACGCTCTCATTCTCACACTCTATACATGATCACATTCAGAAGGACACAGGGTGAAACACACATTGTTGGACCTATTACTGATTTCATGAGGCAGCACAGTACGGTATGTAAAAGCGTTTAAACAAGGGCGTACTGTAGCCAAAAGGAATGACTGTATCATGCCATGTATCTGAGGATGTTTACAGGTCTCCGGAATCAGCCGTTTATTGGAAAGCGCTTCATTTGAGAACTTTAAGCCACACATAGAGTACGTCCTCATCACATTTCTCCTAGGCGGTGTCATTTTTCAGCACTCCAACTATTCCTCCAAGTTGAAATGTGCTGCACACCTTGGAGTGTCAGGCTGCGGTGAGCCGCGGGGGGAGAGTGTCACGCCGCACTCGTTTGATGTGAGTGGAGCTGTGCCTGAGGTGGTGCAAGGAGTCAGTCACCTCACTCAGCTCCCCTGAGTTCACTACTGATGCTGGCACTTACAGCGCCCCGAGACATCCTGTGGCTCCGCAAGGGTTAAAAGAGCCAATTTCAGCAGCACGGGGACTCTCATCATGGATCCCCTCTATTACAATATTTGAGCTGAATTTCATCTGTGAGCGGAAAATGAAACCACTTTCGTCTGGTTTGAGTAAAGAACTTTTTAAATAGTTCGAATCTCCGTTTTTTTTTTTTTTTTTTAGATTGACGCAGCCGTAAGCCATGAGAAACTACAAAATATACAGTAATATGACTTCCATTACAAGATGGAAGGTGCAACGTAAAGTGGCAAATATGATAACAGCCACCGATGTGTCATGAATAATTGGAAATGTCGGTTAATCAACTGATATAAGAAATGTTTAATTAAATCGGAAAGCTTACTCATCTTGCACAGACAGCGAGGTTCCCGACCAGGGGTGCGTTTCCCAAAACTGTAGCTGTTTGGTCACATATCCTTCATTTCAACAATGTATTTTATAACGTAAAAAGTCCATTATGGTGCTCTAAACAGGATAGAGTAACAACTTCTTTAGAGGAAAAAACCCAAATTTTTGTGCAAATGATATTGTTTTACATGCACACACATTTAAAAAAAAAATCCAATATTACTTTTGATAAAAGCATGTACACACTTTCCATATTAATTGAAATATATGTAAATTGCACATTTAGGGCCAATTTTTCCTTTACAGATATTATTGAGAATATTCCATATACTATTCTAAAACATAATCACTTAGCTAACACTCTAATCTCACATACAAATCATTTAAATTAAGCTAATGATTGTAATGTACAGTCGGCCATTTACTAAGAAAATAATAAATATCTTACCTAATAATAATTATTATTACATTATTAAGTAGGATATTGTTTATTTGTTTTTTATCACTGCAGAAATCTTCTAACCAACAGGCCCATGTCATATAGACCTACAGTACAGATACATTTCTTAATAAATAATCTACTATAAATTAAAAGCATTAACATATGCTATACATTTTAGTTTTTACAAGCTTTGGAGATGTAACGTATAATCCGCTTTTAAATAATAGATGGATGGATAACTAGAAATAGATTACAACCAGGATATTTGCTTCTAACTACAGCTCAAGATGTGTGGTTGGAATCGTACAAGTTTGCCACTCAGTTTGCAAATGTTCTTTGAAATGATGGATTTGGGAAAAGCCAAATCAACGAACTCTGTTTGTAGTGACCTCAGTTGGCTAACGATGAATTTCGGAAACGCACCCCAGTGCAGAAAGGTACCAAAAACCTCTTCAAAACAGTCTATGGCTCTTCAGTGGTTGATCAGATTATTTTCAAGCCACAGGAATATTTTTGTGCACACATTAAACAAAATAAGTATAAATAAAATAATCAACTTAGATTATATAGTACAGGGTGTGCACTGCATTCACATACTGTATCACTCATAAATGCGTCTCTAATGCAATATCTATGCCAATGCTTTGTTTCAAACAGAGGAAGTTGTTCACTAGCATCCAAACTATAAATCAGTGCAAAAATGAGAGGAAACTGTTGAATAAAGTTGCTATTTTTGTTGTATGTTTTTGAAGATTGAAAATATTCTGATTGTACCACTGAAAACTCAAACTGTTTTGAGGATACTTTTGGTATTGGCGTTTGAACAGGACTTTTGCTGTCTATGGAGGATATGGGAGCTTCTGGCTTTCTTCTAAAATATTCTAGTTTGTGTTCTAAAGGTAAATGAAGGGTTTGAAACGACATGAAGAAATTCAGTTTTTGGTTGACTAACACACTTATAGTCTATGATTTGATGTTTATTATAGTGAATAAGTTGTTTCTAGCATGTATCATTTTGGCAATAATTATTTTCACTCTGAAGCAGCATGTAGATTTCCTAATAAAGTTGGAAAAAATACTCCATGCTGATACTTGATGACAATGCGAAGATTGAAAGATCAGTGAAAATTAAGCCTGATGAAACTTGGCATTATCATCCTGGTATAGGACCAGGGCATAGATCTGACTGAAGCTTCACACTGAATCAGTTAGTGTTAAAGAACTGTGCCAAACATAAGAAACAAGAAACACATTAATCATGGCAATGAAGATCCAATCATAGAGTTAAGTATTTGCTTGCTTAAAGCTGTCAACATTTTTATTTTTATAACCAGGGTATAGATTAAATTTGCTGACAGAATTGAACACAAATGTGTTGTGTACACCAATGTTTACACACTCCATGTTTTGGATGTCTCCTTTGATTGTCACACCAATTATGGGTCTTTCAGTCTCTTCTAATGAGCTGATGATCTGAAATTGGTTAAGGAAACATGGAAAATGTGCAGTGCTGGTGGTCCTCCAGGAACGTGGTTGAGAAACTTGCCTAGTTTACACCAGAGGTTGCATTTTGATTTACATGACTCAGAATAAGTATACAAAGATGGAACGAGCTATTCAATTTGATTTTACTTCTCTATTTTCCAAATACTTTATTCGCTTTGAATTAACAAGTACATTTTGATAAACAATGTGCAGACACACTGACCTCTCACACAATGCAGATTGTCTCAGAGAAAGAAAAAAGGAACCTAATGAGAGCTAAATGAAAACAAGAGGGGACTACTGAGAAAGAGATCACTGGAAACCTATCAGATGGACAGAGGTAGAGAGAAGGGTGGTAGTCGACCGCATGCAATGCTGGGATGGTCCTGAGCATGACAAGAGTTAGGCAGTAGCAGCAGCAGCCATTTGCTTTCACTTAGAAAGCAAAGATGAAAAGAAGGCATGATTTCCTTGGAAAGTCAAATCAAAATCCCCTCTCATAACAGTGCTCCACAAAGGACAAAGTTATGGTTTAAAAGATCCCACAACAGGTGCTGTATCATGCAGAATCATTAACTTGCATACCTGGGCCCATTCTATTCATCCTTGTTGCACTTTAGAAAAAAAAGTGGTCTACGTAAGTTTTAAGGCAAGTAACAGGTCTCAAACAGAATAACTGACATCATGTTCCTACATTTTTAGTCTGCTGATTAACAATGTCAAATAACCATCTTCATTTTTAACCTAATGGGGAATTATTCTTAAAATCTTACTGATGCAAATTCAATAATTGTTAAAGTAATTTTAACACTTAATTGTTCAGCTTGCTTAACTTTAAAAGGCTTTTTACTTCTCAATTTAACTATTATTCTCTCTAAGGTGAGGGATTATCTTACAATCTCTAAAACTTGAACTTTAAGGCACGCATCATAAAAGGCACTGAAATAAATGCAGGGTTTTACAACATCCCATAATACCTTGCAGCTCTTTAATTCATCATGATGACTGTATTTGTGGATGATAAAAACGCTATACGATATTAAATAATTAACAATTAAATGATCTAATGCTTTAAAGACAGACATGTGCACCTGCAAGGTATTTAGGGATGATGTGAAACTATTTATGCTATGATAACGTCTCGAAACCCTACCTAAAACATAAACAAAATAAAGAAATCACTAGAGCAGAACTAAAAATAAGCCACTAACAAAGACTAAAAACATGATGATGCAATTTGCAGTTCTCTCACACACAACATGTAACAATGATTGGACAAACAGAAAGGCAAGAAATGGATTAATGCTTGTTCCGCTCTAATGTGTGGCCATGACTAAAGGTTGCCTTTACACAAATGCTGATGGGAAATATAGAGCTGAATCAATTTTAACTGCACCGCTCTAGAGGTCTGCATGGGACCTGGAAATTGTGATTTTTAATCATTGTGAAAATAATTTCATGAATTGTGGTATGTTTACATGACAATGTCAAAATTTTTCTCATTTTCAAAAACACAAAAATAACACTGCATTACTCGTGTCACTAGGTGTCTGTAGATGGCAATGTCACTGTGTTAAATACAGAAGTAACAACTCACAGCACAGTTTGACAGCTTTAACCCTAGTTAAACACCATCTCTTTTCTGGGAAACCTCTAGGAACTAAGTTTGAAACCTCTAGGAACTAAGTTTGACACCCCTGGAAGAACAGTACTAGGGACATGAGCTACATTTGACATCATCCAGGAAGGTTTCGTTCTTCAAATGTAATGCAATACAAGTAACGTGAGTTATGTAATAGTATTAATTTGAATAACGAGTAAAGTAACATTACTTTTAAAAAAAGGAGGTTCTCAAATAACATTACCCTAAAATATTTGTAAATATTTATTTATATATTTTATTTGTGTATATATATATATATATATATATATATATATATATATATATATATATATATATATATATATATATATATATATATATATATATATATATATATATTTTTTTTTTTTTTTTTTTTTTTTTTTTTTTTATCGTTGTAGGTTATACAGTGGGTTTTTGTTCAATAATAGGCATGGCCAATATTTTAGTGCTTTGCAGACACCTTAAACAATATCAAAATGCTTTTTTGATGTAAAATTAATGCGTAAAAAGCCAGTTGTGAAAAGGTATTGCATATCATATGTAACAAATTGTTACCTGCAATTTGATTGTCATTTTGCTCAGATGGATAATTAATTAATATCAAATGATGTGCCATCAGCCAATCGTTGCATAAATAAATAACAAAAATTTGTCCTTCACAACACATGCAGCGATTTCAGATCATTTCATAGAGACATTTTAATCTGATTCGCGAACTTGTTTGAAGAGCCAAATTAGCCTGGGATCAGTTATCAAGATTAAAAGATCTAGGCTCTGCCCCCTGGGGTCCGTTCTACAAGTTTTTTGAGAATCGGATTAAAACATGTGAATGATTTGATCTGATATTATTGAAGGATCCAACCCCCAAATCCTGATCAGGAATGCAGCGATTGGCTGTCACCAAGACAGCAGCGTAATGGTCAACAGTTATGTGGGCAAAATAACAACATTCATAGTAAATGGAAAGCAAAATAATTGTTGTAGGCTATTTGTAAAGGCATTGTTCATGTGTCAAGAGTACAGCCTTTAGCAATTTATTTATTATTAGAGGAGATTTTCTACCTGACAGTATTAAACTTTTTTAATCGATTGGTATAAGGCATTGCTGGCCCTTGAATTAATTCAGAAAAAAAAAGCATTTTGATATTTATCTCTGACGATGTATCAAATAACCCACATATTAGCTGTCAATGTTTTGTGTGCATGCCTCCTGTACATTACAAAATTCCTCTAGAAAAAGAATCTCAATAAGAATATTAGTCATATCTATTATCATAAACTGTATCTGATCCATATTAGTATCGTAAAGTCTACACATTAGTCACTAAACAAGTACAAAAAAAAGATATATGAGTCCCGTGAAAAGGTAGTGCTGTGACCTTTTATGTGGCCTACTTTTGTTGTTTTTTTGTATAATTTTACAATATTTTTATATTCTCCAATTTAATACAGTAGAAAATATCAGCAGTTTGGCACATACCTCTAGCAGCACTTGTGCTTAAAATTGCAATCTGATCCTGTTTTTAAATGAAATATGCCTGCTCCCGAGCGGGTTTGAGCCATACCTGTTGCCATGACAACAACACTTTTAAAGAATGAAACTATCCTGGATCTTGTTAAAAATCAAATCCATCTATGAATAACAGACCCCTTTCTTGTAGGTTTAGTGAATTTTTATTTTTTTTGTAGTTTACGAAGGCGCAAGTCTATAGTCTGAACATGTAATATGCATGCGCAAGACAGCACCATTTCCACAAATTTGCATTATATACTTTACCCAATGACGATAATAGTACATTTATTTACAGCCTCCCAAAAAGCCATTGTCATGTAAGTGAACAACCTTAGTGCAATACAAATGTGTACATGTCCCTCATCTTAACATGAGAAATGTAGTCTTTAAACTGGTCCCTCTACAAGCTGATCTGAATGCAGACCTCTGATTTATTGTTTAAAGTTGTGTTTGTACAAATGCAGCAGCGATGGACCTGGTTAATGTGCACTAGTGATGAGGCAATGATCATTGAGCTGAGAGTGTTTGTGTGTGGTCAAGGCAAGGGCCACATGCACATAACAATGGAGCAAACTCACAAACAGAACGCTGGAAACAAACACACACAGCATACTATCTGTGCCAAGTGTGTTAAAACCACAGAACGCACAGTACACACACTCTGCTGGGTTAAAGGGCCAACTTACTTCTGTTTGTCACGGGCTTCACGTGCTTTGCTGCTGCGGTTCTGCCGGTTGGTGGCTGGGATGGAGTGAACAGACGAGCTCTTCTTGCTGGAGGAATGGGACGAATGGGAGGAGTGGGACAGGCTCGCTCGGGACTGGCCCGCGTTGTGGTCGAACTGCATCAGACAGAAGATCAGGTCCGTGGGCACCATCTCAAACTCATAAGGCGGGTTTGTGATGACATATCTGAGCACATGGGAAAACGGCACACATTCAGCCATCTGTTAAAAGGTAAAACTCTTTCATTTCTGCACTTTATATAGTTTACCAACCCAAAGCTGGGAGGAGGAGAAAAATGCATAATCACTATAGGGATCTGAAAAGGTAAGTGTATTGTTTCTTAACGCAATTAATCGTTTCAAAAGGTCTGACACATCATCTGAGCCATATATCATTGTGTGATGGATAATATGCATCAAGACAAGACGTGTGTGCTGAATTGTTATAAAGAGCTCCCAGATGGACATTTAGATTAAACCAAAGTTGTATCAGCTGACAGTTAGGAATAGCTGAAGCCCTGAAAGTAAAAGGTATGAATGTCTTTCAGCCAAGAAAATCTAGATAAGGAGATCACAATCGCAATCTCAGCTTGTGTAGACCACGTCAATTCAAGTTATATTAAATTTAAAACAAAAATACAATTCACTGCAATTTTGTTAGATTATATATATATATATATATACATATATATATATATATATATATATATATATATATATATATATATATATATATATATATATATACATACATACATACATACACACACACACACACACACATATATATACATATATACAGTTGAAGTGAGAATTATTAGCCCCCCTGAATTATTAGACCGCTTGTTTATTTTTTCCCCAATTTCTGTTTGACGGAGAGAAGATTTTTTTCAACACATTTTTAAGCATAATAGTTTTAGTAACTCATTTCTAATAACTGATTTATCTTTACCATGATGACAGTAAATAATATTTTACTAGCTATTTTTCAAGACACTTCTATACAGCTTAAAGGGACAACTAGGTTAATTAAGTTAACTAGGCAGGTGAGGGTAATTAAGCAAGTTATTGTATAACAGTGGATTGTTCTGTAGATTATCGAGAAAAAATATAGCTAAAAGGGGCTAATAATTGTGGCCCTAAAATGATGTTTAAAAAATTTTAAAAATTGCTTTTATTGTAGCTGAGATACACCAAATAAGGCTTTTTCCAGAAGAAAACATATTATCAGACATACTGTGAAAATTTCCTTGCTCTGTTAAACATAATTTGGAAAATATTTTAAAAAGAAGAAAGAAAAAAAATCTAAGGGGGCTAATAATTCTGACTTCAACTGTATATAACCATATAGCCTAATATCCGATGCCAAGAAAGTGATTCATTTTTCATAAATTGTTAAAAAGTAGTATTTATGATGCCAGTTTAAACACTGTTGTGTACAACATGGATTTTTATAAAATTCATTTTGTGTAATAGGACTAAAAAGTGGACATAAACAAATGTTTTCTCAATTCAAATGAGTAGCTGCTTGGACTCAGAAACAGTATTCCATTTTGTATTAATTTAATGTATTCCATTACTATAGAAATCATCCTAATACAATGATATGGTGTTTAAGAAACAAATAACAATGCTGAAAAAAATGTGTTTGTTTTGTGAAAAGCATGCTAATGAGGATCGTTCGTTAAATATCAATAGTTTTACCTTAAATAGAAATCATTAGTAACAAATGACTTGCCTACCTTTAGAAAACTTCTACTTGATCGTTTTTGATTTCTTTCAAGGATTAAAATCTCACTGACAATTTTCTATGCATCTTACAAGCAAGCATTAATTTATGTTGGGTGGTCCTCTATGCCGCCATGGTTTATGGGCTCAAGTATGGGCTGAAGTTTTAAAGAATACACATATTTTTCAGTGCTGAAGTTGGATTACAGGCATGCTGACTCTGAGGATAAAGAGAACAACTCACCTTTTTGTGCACTGGCTTGGTGCACCTAAATGTGCATCTCGCAATCTATAGATTCCAAAGCACAGCATGTTGTAGGTTTTTAATGCTTTACAGAACAAGTCTCCATAGCAACCTCCGTCCTGAAAAAAATGAACAAACAGCAATTTCAACGTTTCAAGTTATTTTAGGCATTTCTAGTTTAAAATTAAGTGCGGTTTGCCCAAGTTTCTTCATTTACAGTCAAACCAAAATTATTCAGGCACCAGATATAATTTCTCCAATGTTGTTCATTTAGGCAAGTGACTATAGCAAAATAAACTAAACTTCAAAGTTTACCCAACAATTTTTCATACAGTGCACTAAAACCAAAAGGAAGTGACTACAGACTGCATAGTGGGAAGCAATAAAGCACTGATAGCTGTCTAAATATTGTCATGTTGGTTGGTTGACTGTAATCCATTACATATTGTTCCTTTCTATCAGGTATCTGATATTATTAAGATGCATTTGTTCTGACAGTTGAACAGGGAAAAGCTGAGTTCTTGTCATATTGTATTAGCATTGCCTAGACTACAGCAAATAAACTGTGATAATGTGAGAAATGGTGAAGGTGTCTGAACAATGTTTCATTTTCAAGACTGCACTGTCTCCACGGCTATAATAAAATGTGTTGAATTCGAGTTAGATCCAGAAATACCATCAAAGATTTACAACAGTGTTTTTTTTTTTTTTGAAGCCACAAACTTTGCGTGTTTAGCTCATTCACTTTGCATTAGCAAGCAGAGAAGGCGTCGAACGAGGAACGAGGCCTATTGGGTAAAGTGCCAAAACGTGTCAGCTCCTCTTAAGCGTCCACTTACCCCCAAGTCTGCGAAGGGCCCATCGTAGAGGGCCAGCTGGGCGACCCGACACCTGTCCCTGTTAGCCAGCGTCTGCGGCGTGCTGTAGCCACCTCTCAGAGCGTTCTCCTCAGCCAACAGGGCCTCCAGCTCCGGCGTGGCGCCTCCCGTGACCAGCGTCCGGATCAGGGTGAGGATATTATCATTGAAGTATGTCTGCCAGGATAAAGGAGAGCATCCGGACATGAGCACCATTAGAGTCACAGCTCAAGACAGTCAGGATTTTGGAGCTGTCCCGAACACTGTTATCTAGACCCTGATCTGTCTCTTCTCATTTCACTCCCTGGGAAGGGAAGAGACACAGGAATGCAATTACGCCAGCTGTTGTTGTTGTCGTCCTCTTCTCCTCCCCATGCACATTCATTTTGGTAACACCAGCTATGCTTAACAGGGGAGCGTTTTGCACACGAGGACATTTTAATTATCATTATTGTAGCTAATTGTAGATTAGATGCAATGCACAATAGATCTCATAACACAACTTGAGGACGACTGCTTGTTCAAGTTCAAAAGTCGGATTTTTATTGTATAATTGTTTTTTTTATTATTATTATTTTTTCCTAAAAGTGTGTCATATTAACTGCTGAGTGAGACTAAAACTTTGTCTTCATTACTGGAGTGATCACTTTGTTTAAAAAGGAATGGAACAGTCACAGATATTCTAGATATAAATCTAGTTGGGAAGTAATTAATATTTGAAAATATGCACACAATTAAGTATGCCTAATATGTTTTATCAAATTTATTCAGGAATATTATGGATAACATTTAAATCGGCAAAACTTACGGATTTGTTTTGGGTTTGTTTCATGTTAAACTATTATAAAGCCATTAAATAAACCAGTTAAATATTTTATAACTTTAAGCATTAAAGGTATAGTTCACCCAAAAATGAAAATGTAAATATACAGTTGAAGTCAGAACCTTGAAAAATATCTAGTGAAATACTATGTACTGTCATCTAATACTATGTACTGTAAAACTATCATGTTTAGAAATGTGCTGAAAAAAAATCTTCTCTACGTTAAACAGAAATTGGGGAAGAAAATAAACAGGGGGGCTAATAATTCAGGGGGTTTAATATCTCTGACTTCAACTTTATTTGATGAGGAGAGCGAGGACGAAAGTAACGTGGGACAAAAATAACAAATCGATTTTCTCAATGCCATGACAACATTTGATTTCCAGGCTATAACAGCACATTCAGCATGCAACCCTTGATAATGCGGCCAAATATCAGAGAATTGCAGAACTGTGTCCTGCAATTAGCTCAAAACTTCTGCTTTTAAGAGCAAAATATAAATTATTGTTGTGGTTATCTTTTTCTTTTATTACAAGATGTGTTTCTCTTTTTTTATGTGTCACACTTATGATCAATCTTCAGGTTATTTAGTGCAATAACAATCCTTGAGTTTGAAATCTTTGAGTTTTTCAGTTTAAAAGTAAATCAGATTTAAATGGCAAGAGTTCATGTGGGGACAAAAGTAGCACTGTTAATTATGTCCCACTGATAATAGCCATGCCATATTTTTTACTGCCATATTGGAGTTTTCAGTGTTTTGACTCATGTTTTATAAGATTAATGCATATTGACTATAATAATAATAATTATATATATATATATATATATATATATATATATATATATATATATATATATATATATATATATATATATATATAATAAAACTGATAGAAAATCTTAACATTTTGCGTTGCTGGATTGCTTTTGAAACATTTAATGGAAGTGAAATTTTAAATGCAAATGCAAAATATGTTTGCAGTGAAAATTGACAAGGTCTTAGTCAGATATATTTAAAATGAACCAGATTAAGCCAGTAAATTTAGCAAACAACATTGTTGCGTTGCTTTTGACCCACCTGTGTGTTACTTTCGTCCCTGCTCATGGGGTCATAAGTAATAATGTGCAACTTTTGTTTAAAATGAAGTTTTATAGGAGTTGTTTTACATTAATACAAAATAACAGCTGATTTTGATAGAGCACTGTTGCGAAACATTAACCACACAAAAAAATATATATTTCTGCTAAAAAATATATTTTTTAAATTAGGTTTTAATAAAAAATGTTACTTTCATCCCTGCTCTTCCATTTTTGGATGAACTATCCCTTATTTTCCAACTGCTTACAATTTTAGAAACATCTCATTCAAGATGCAAAACTACACAGCAAATCTTTAAAACCAGAATATTTCTTAGCCTTGAACTCAAATTCCAATTGCATAAAATCCTTTATTTAAAACTCTACACACAACTCTGTACCTAAAACGCAAAGTCACTTGCTTTCTTTTCCAAACACAATCAATCAAAATGCTACTTATTCACAATGAAACGCACACACGCTCCGCAAATGTGGAAACACTAATTTCGTAACTGATCACTAACCAATAACTGGGCTGTTCTGGTATAAAAAAAATGGTTTTCCACCCATCAACAGTAGCTTTGTACCTACACCATTTGTTTTCTTTTTAAATTCCTCTTTAAGGAAGAATAGAGAATTTCTTCTGAGCCTAGCACTGTAAAGTGTATGAAGACCTAGATAAGGCCTAGACATGCCCACATGACGCTTTTCCAGACAATGGAAACAATTTTTTCTTTTTTTTTTTTTTTTACATTTTACATACAATATGTTTGTGTTTTTATGCTATAAACACTAATAATGTTTGGCCTAATACATATTTTCTGTTTCTTCGTGTGATTGTTTTTTACAGTGTACCTGATACTCCTCTCAGCAGATTATTGTCACTAAAAAACATTGTATTGAAATATAGATGTAAGCCTAAAGATCAAAGAGCTTTAGATTTAGAACAAAAGTGTTTCAATGCTATATCCAAACATTTACTAATAACTAATAATTAATTGCTGGAAAAATATATACATTTACTGTTGTAATCACTATTAAAAGTTGTTTGCTGCTGAATGTTTTTTGGAAATCGATACATTTATTTCAGGACTATTTTATGATTATGCATAAGATTACACAATTTATTTGTATGTAAAATTATCTTTAGCATTTACTGCCACTTTTAAACTATTAAGTGTATCACTTTAGAATGATAAATAAATACATCTCTCTGAAAGATGCGTAGTGTGTTTAAAATCCTAAAACTTAAGCTTGCAGGTCCAAGCCAGATTTGTTACATGTGGACTCTGACCCTGCAGTATCCTGTCCATCAGATGTTCTCCAGTGTCACTGATGATGATAAAGTTGTCAAATGATTAAGGTATAAAAATAAAAGATTGTAGCCGGATCATGAGGTGGTTCGTGTGAGCAGCAGAGGGCTGTGTCGCCGCGAGCTGGAGTGACACCTCTCCAGGCCCCTGACAGCAGCATTCAGCCGGATGATGGATGAGAGCTGTCTATTAGCAGCCTTCACCTTTGTCCACAGTGAAATGCACTTGAAGGCTGCTTTGTTCTAGCTTCACTCAAAGTGAAAGGTACTGGAATTAAGCCATCATATGGATAAGGGGATAGCAGCGGTCGTAGGTAGCGAGGGGGAAAGAAGAAAACGCCAACGAAGAAGGGAAAAGTGAAAAAAGGTATCTTTCCTAATCTAGCCTAGATGACACTGTTAGGAGATTAGAGCTCCTGCGCCCCACAGCAGCCCACGTTGCGTGTCAAGGCATGCCATTAAAGAAAACTTGAGCACTTACCTTGTTAAAAGATCTAATAAGACTCTTGAAAGTTCATTTCATGACACGTTATATGAGGAGTCTTGGCAACAACTTTCCTTTTGATGTCACCGCTGCTGACAGTGCTGTCTGATCAATGTGGCATTTCATTTACCAACCTCTGCCTACTGGTAACGCCTGAGCCCTACATCTAAAGCACAGCACAGCCGGAGGATGTCTCTTTCCTATACATTATTCCGCAGGATTAGCAGTCAGACATGCCTTCGTGTAATTCTATATGACATGCCATGATGGGAGAGAAATGACTGTGCACCTTTTGACAGGTGGCTTTGTTCCCCAAATCACTGGCTGCTTTTGAATACCAACGGAAAGATCATCTGAAGCCTAGTAGATAATATGAAGGATCCTTCGCACAATGAAAGGATTTGAATCGACTTATTCAGCAGGGATAATTTCTTGATAGGATTTTAGGCACGCTAATCTGTTTAAAGGAATTCGAATGGGTAAAGAGATGTCAACGTGGCAGCTGTTTAGCCGCTAACTCACCGCACTCATCAGGGAGTCCAACACGCTGACGGCGAATGCGGTACCACAGGCGAACGGCTGGGTCAGGTAGAGCTCAGTGTCTGGGTCGTCATCGTCGTCTTGGTCCAAAAACTGAACGTTGGAGTCGTTCACTGCGGTACAGAGAGAGAAGTTTTAGAAATGCGCAGAAGAGTCAAATAGTGTCCTGCAAAGGGTGGAGAAGTGTGGAGTGTCTTGCCATCCAACGGGATGATGAAGTCAAATAAACAATGAGCATTAAACAAATTAAAAACACATGCACGACAGCATGCATTCAGGAGATAACCTCAATCTGATAACTTGAATGCATGTACAGCAAAATAAAGGGATTGTTTACGTAAAAATGTCAATTCTGTCATCAAATATTCTCCTCATTTTTTTTTGACATTTATATAATTATTTTATTGAACATCTTCAGATCTACTACACATTCATGAGAGAAGTTGTGCTGTTAGATCTATACAGTAAATGAGCTGCTCTTTTGAGTCTTATTGTTTTATTTGTTTGATTTGAAAAGAAATTGAACTGACCTGGTTCACTTACTATATGGCCCTGCCTACACTTGGTTTTAAGCATCATTAATTAAAGCTGCTCACAAGCGAATTACACTAAGTATGGGTGTAAACAGAGTCCAAAACTTGTCATTGCTTGCTAGAAAAGGCTCATTCATATATAATACCTTTCCCTTTTAGAAATCAGGTATACTGTATAGCTGAAAGTACAAATACGTCTAAATATACCAACTATAATGTCAAATGTCCAAATTTACCAGATTTAATACCAAATATGATACCAAACATTTCCTAATTAATACCAAATACGTCCAAATATACCAAATATAATATTAAATTCATCCAAATATGTCCAAATATAATATCAAATATATCTAAATAAACATGTCCAAATATAATATTAAATATAATACCAAATATACCAAATCTAATATCAAATATGTCCATATCAAATATGTCCAAATATAATACCAAATATGTCCAAATATAATACCAAATATGTCCAAATAAACAAAACATGTCCAAATATAATACCAAATAATACCTCCTTAATACCAAGTGTAAACAGGTCCAACAATAAATAACCGGAGAGGAAGATTCACTAACGACATAAGGAATAGCTCACCCAAAAACAAAAATTACCCCATTATTTACTCACCCTCATGACATTTAAAACTATTTTTGTTGGACGAACATAGTCGGAGTAGTTTTAAAAGCCATGCTTTAGAGTCAGGTCTTTTTTTTTTTCCAATATTGCATAAATCCATCATCAGACTAAGTCCTATGCCAGGATGGAGTTATCACATATATTATGAGGCTGATTGAAAGGTTTTTGTAACAAAAGTATTTCTTTTTTTTATTATTATTAACTTTAGTCACTGACTTTCGCGGACAGCCACATGCATGTTAAGTGTGGCTGATGCACTGTATATTATACAACGGTGATATAGGACACATTCAAAGCGAAAGCTCCAGGTATTGCAGATGGATATGGCAAGAATCAATTGCATAACATACATTTTATCATGACTGGATGTCTGTAATTTAAAAAATTAACCCAGTGATGGACAATGGTGGTCAAAATAGACTCTCCAACACAATTATTCACATCACAAATTTAAAAGTTCTGTGCTCATCTGACAGGGAAAAAAGTACACAAAGAAGACATACATACTGTAATGAGGTGAGCACATAATGAGGTGATTTAGATTTTTGGGGTTTGCAATTACTTAATTGTCTCACAAAATGACTGCACGACTTCAGACGATGTTGAATACAGCGCACAGGAATTATGACCTACTTTTATATTAGTTATTTGTTTGCTTGTGCAATCTTGAAAAAAAAACTCTATTTACTGCATAGAAAACAGTCATTAGTTTAATTCTTTAAAATATCTCCTTCTGTATTGCTCCATGAGGCTCTATAAATGCTGACAGAAATTGTATTTTTGGGTAAACTGGTGCTGTAAATGACGAACAACTGCCTAAATGTCTTTGTGAGGAAAAACGGACTCAGTTTTCAGAGAAAATGTACCAATTTAGGTCCACTTATATAAAATAACCCGCTTTCAAACATTGTTATCTTTGGTTGGACAGCAGAAGCAGTAGTCAGAATGCTTTGAGGCTATTGCGAACGGTCTCAGCGGCCAATGTATAGAGACAATGCCCTGAAATCCCGCTCGGTTTGAACACAGCCTCACACAATCTTTGTTTCACCCCCTTTCAAAATCTATGCTTCAGAGATTAGGGCCAGCACCAAAATAAATAAATAACAATAAACAGCTTAAAGCAAGGTTTGATCTGTTTTCTTTTCTCTTTTTTTTAATTTGATTTCTTCCCAGACTTCCTGTGAGCTAAGGAAGAGAAATGTCAGTCTTTCAGACAGGCCGCTGATGAAAAGGAGCCTGGGCCAAAGAATTGAACTGCTGGGAGATGCTATGAAAACAGCCACAAGGACAGACTCGCATGATCAAAGGCCTAGTGATGCTCTGAGAAAGAAAGAAAGAAAAAAAAAATCCTTTAAAAAAAAAAAAGGCCAAAAACAAGACAGTCAATTTCAACCAGAACTAAGGATAAAAATGTGTTCAAAGTGATGCCATGGGAGCAGGCCTCAGCTGCAGCGGGAGAAATCAAGACAAGCCGATGAAGGAGGCAGTGCATCAGAGTAGCGGAGGACAAAGGCGCAGCTTACCCAGTTCTGTTATCATTTGTATGTTGGTTCCACTGTTTTTTTCCTGACTGAATGAAACCAAAGGCAGTAGTTTGCCAGGCTTAGCTAATGATGATAAAACAGTGTTGAGGGGAGACAGTTATTGAAACAAGTTCAAAGCCAGAGAAAGCATAAACGAGAGTATCATGTCAAGAGTGGGATTAGAAATCTAAAGGTACACTGTCAGGATGAAGCGCTTCTCTGAGAAACTCTATGGAACAGTTCAGCCGTGTTTGTTCATGATAACGGGGATATCGCGAAGGCTTACTGCACAAGAAGATTACTATGAAGCATATAGAACGGAATTACTAATCACTCCGAACAGGTTTCTTGTGCAATCGCACATATTCTAAAATTGATATAGCAGACCAGATTTACAGAGTGCTCCATTGACGGTCAATGATTCGCTCGTGTAAAGAACTTAATGTGTCCGGTTTGCTGGCAGTCTGCTGATAAACATTCGAAAAGTACTCTTGAATTATCATGTATAATTGAATTTTATGCAAGCTTCCACAAAGCAGTTTAAAATTTGTGCAGAGAACTAAACCAAACATTTTTTGATGTTGTTTAAATGTGTGCATGGAATAACTTAGACTTTTTAGTGCTTTGTTAAATTACTCTTCTCAATTTCTTTAATAAATAAATAGTTGTAACTTCCTGCCATGATCCATAAATGTCAACCCTCCCGTTTTTTACAGGATTCTCCTGTATTTTACAATTCTATTCTGCTATCATCCCTAAAGGTATTTTCTCATATTTCTCAAGTATTTTTAACCTTTCTATAAAGGGTGGCAATAAACATCTAAGAGTCGATCCTCCCTATAGGCAACTCATACCTCCGAACCACCAGGGGACGCCCCTTGGTCTTAAATGTGAATCTGTTCTGTGCTTTCATTTTATTAAGTCATAAAAACACTTTGAAGTATATATAAAATTGGCGAGATTACCTTCCTTTCCATTACAGGCGCCGTTGCCCCTCGGGTGCAATCCTCAAAACAGTCAGTTCATGTAGCGGTGCGTGACTGTCTGACGCACTCCATAGTGATAAATAGATGCTGTTTCCCAAATTGATTTTGAACATGCAATTTTTAAGTGGAGCAAAAGTGGACACTTTAGGTTTTGGGTGTGTGTTTGAACAGACATATACACATGATGATAATAATAATAATAATAATAACAACATATTAACATGTTGATCCTTGTGGGTTTTCTTTTAAACAACAACAAAAAAAGTTAGGAAAGCAATTGAATGCTTATAGATCTGTTATTCATTGTAATCTAATGAAATATCTAGATTTTAGAAAGATTCATTCACTGTTCTTTAATCGAATTGTTTGAATTCTACAGTGAAAAAAAAGATAATGAGATTTGATAACATGATTAAATTTCTTTATAATAGCTAAACATTTTAATAGGCTAAACTGTTTGCTAATTTATTTGCAGCTTTGTCTAATGTATTCTAATTATTCTAACATTTGTACCCTCTTTAATGACAGATAATATGAATAGTCTTCATATAATAAAAACAAAGATAAAGCACTTTGCGGTTTCAACTCAATTGCTTTGGCCCATTTCTAAAAATTCTTCTATTCGTCTTAAAATTTTCAAAAAAGTGTGAGTGCAAATGTCAAAACTGTTTGCTGGAACTTCAGAACTTTATTGCAGGTCTGCAAAATGCAGTTACTCACCCAAAACATTTCATTCATGCTTTAAAACCTAGTTATTGTGTGAATAATAATTTATTTGGCCAAGGCCACCAAAATATAAAGTGTATGTGTCATCATTTGCTCAAAATGATTAGTTGTTGTTTTTTTTTTTGTTTTTTTTGCCACAACAGTCAACCATGTAAAAGGTTTTTTCAAAATATGATATTTGTTGAGAAGAGAACAATATTAGTCAATAGTAGATAAAACATGAACATTTGTATTTATACAGTATATTTATTTCTGTACTAATGGACATGTAAAGCACAATGCTGTTTGACCGATTACTGTGTTATATATTTTATTTTTTGTAAAATATATATATTTTTTATGTTACCACAAATACACAAATAGATTACTACAAAATAGCATTAATGAAAATAAATACAAGTCTTTCAACTGCTATTCCACAAACATGTTGCTGCAGTTCAGGATTGTGGAGGTTTTCCATTCTTAAAAAAAGATAAGAAAAAAAAGTAGTGATTGTGCTGTGGACAATCTACATACAGTATACAGTATTTGCATCCAAATTTGATTGGTTAAATAGATTATGCAAATTTTATTGCAATTAGAGGTCATCAGTGTTGGGTGTAATGTGTTACTGTATTACGTTTTAAATTTGTGTCATTAAATTTGTGTCATTGATTACTTAAGTATTTTTAGTTATTTTGATAACTAAAGTCAGTGTATTTGCCTAACGTTACAAATATAGTGTTGGGAAGAAAAACATGCTTCCTTTAAATTACGCTTTCTGCTTCAACGTCAGTAAGCATGTACTCTTAAATTGCTGGAAAACGTGAGTGAAATGGCTCCTTACGAGAGAGGCTGCTTCTTCAAGTGGAAATACAGACATTACTTTGATTTCATTGAGTGTAAAAACAAAAATACTGCTGTAAAATGCTGTCTAAAAAACTTTTGACTGCTTTTAACTCGACCAGCAACTTTTTCAGCACTAGAACAGAAAGCATTCTATGACCATACTCATCACCAAGAAGGACACCACGGCCCAAAAACAGGGTGGCAAAACAAGCTAAATTAGATTTAGGATCGGGATTGAAGTTATCTTTTGAATGTAAAGAGAAGCAAAGCCGTTAATAGGACCGTTCACATATTGTGTCTTTTGTGTGCACTTACATTTTTCACGGCGTTTCACGTGACAAGAACTGACGATCAGCTTCATTGTTTCAGTGAATATTAAAGTACTGAAAGAGCTGCAGTAATCTATTACTTTTTTAAAGTAACTTACCCAACACTGGAGGTCATTTACCAATTTAGCAGACATTACAAGCAATATCAGTATCAGATATTTATGGTGTAAACATGCGCGTATACAAATAATATGCAGCATGAATAAATTGTTTTATATGTGATGGCTTAAACAACGAAAAATTATTAAGAAGTTATGAAGAGTTTGACTGTATAAATGTGAATCAACACAATAGTTTTTTTCAACATCCATATGCAATTCGTTTTTGTCCAAACTATATACAATTGTATATACTGCAGTTGCAATTTGCTTAAATCAATAAAAAAGCCAGTCTGAAGTGAATAATGATCTAATTGTTCAGATATCTTAACTTATTGTTTTGAAAAATTCAATGGAGAATTGAGCCAAAGCAATTGTGGAAAAACTGTAAAATCCCAGTAAACCCTGTGTCTCAGATGTAAGGCTTTGCAACCCCTCAGGGAGGAGAACTTCTGGATCTTCTGCACATCTCAGCAGAACATGCTGTATGTGTGCATGTGAAGAGCTTCATGTTTTGCATGAAGTTTTTAAGTGTCTGCCTTTTTCTTTATGGTGTAACACGCTGTAATTGGGTCAGTGGAGAGTTGAAGCGGCCGGTCTCTGGTGCTTTAGTGCCCTCTGAGATCTAAAACTTTCATGAGTCCCCCCACCATGGGAATAGTGCCACCCTCATTGTTATTTATAAATGGATCCATTTTGCTACTACATGCTCTTTTTTTTTTTTTTGCTCTTTCCCTATAAGTCTCCTCCAGTGCATTAAAAGCACAAGTGATGAGGACGTGACTTTGACCAGTCAGCGGAAGACTCTTCACACACTTTACAGACACACACTTTATAGGGAACACATCAGTGCGGCTTGATATGGGAGTTTAGATTCTAATCACACTTGACTTTGACATGTTAGCAGTACAGACTGGAGTCGCGTCTCACCCAGTTCAGTTATGATGGGGATGTTTGATCCGGTGGTGACGGATGCCTGCCGCACTAAGCCGTGCACGGGACTGTTATCAGGAGATGACCTATCCATCCCTGGAGGTGTGAAACCTGGAAGAGAAAACAGAAAGAGACTGTCACATTCTGCTCTTCTTATGGGCCACAGCAGATCTGTTTGCATTTGCGACCAAAACATTAGCACGAGTTAATGGCTATACAAATACATACAGTGCATGCGAAAAAGTATTCATAGCGCTTCACTTTTTCCACATTTTTTTATGTTACAGCCTTATTCCAAAATGGATAAATTAATTTATTTCCTTAAAATTTTACACACAATACCACATTTTTTTAAATAATAAATTTATTGAAAATAAAAAAACCTTTAAAAAAAACATGTACAGAAGTATTCACAGCCTTTGCTCAATACTTTGTTGATGCACCTTTGGCAGCAATTACAGCCTCAAGTCTTTTTGAATATGATGCCACAAGCTTGGCACACCTGTCTTTGGGAATTTTTGCCCATTCCTCTTTGCAGTACCTCTCAAGCTCTATCAGGTTGGATGGGAAGCGACAGTGTACACCCATTTTCAGATCTCTCCAGAAATGTTCTATTGGATTTAGGTCTGGGCTCTGGATGGACCACTCAAGGACATTCACCAAGTTGTTGTGAAGCCACTCCATTGATATTTTGTGCTTTTAGTCATTGTCTTGCTAGAAGATGAACCATCACCCCAGTCTGAGGTCAAGAGTACTCTGAAGCAGGTTTTCATTTAGGATGTCTCTGTACATTGCTGCATTCATCTTTCCCTCCCTCCGTCCTGACTAGTCTTCCAGTTCCTGCTGCTAAAAGACATCCCCAGAGCATGATGCTGCCAACACCATGCTTCACTATAGGGATGGTATTTGCCTGGTTTTCTCCAAACGTAATGCCTGGCATTCACTCCAAAGAGTTCAATTTTAGTCTCATAAGAGCAGAGAATTTTGTTTCTTATGGTCTGAGAGTCCTTCAGATGCCTTTTGCCAAATTCCAGGCGAGGAGTGGCTTCCGTCTGGCCACTCTACCATACAGGCCTGATTGATAGATTGCTGCACAGATGGTTGTCCTTCTGTAAGGTTTTCCTCTCTCCACAGAAGAATGCTGGAGCTCAGACAGACTAACCATCGGGTTATTGATCACCTCCCTGACCTTAGGGCCTTCTCCCCGATCACTCAGCTTAAATGGCCGGCCAGCTCTAGGACGAGTCCTGGTGGTTCCAAATATCTTTCACTTATGGATGATCAAGGCCATTGTGCTCATTGGAACTTTCAGAGCAGCAGAAAATTTTCTGTAACCTTCACCAGCCTTGTGCCTGGAGACAATCCTGTCTTGGAGGTCTACAGACAATTCCTTTTTCTTCATGCTTGGTTTGAGCTTTGAAATGCACTGTCAACTCTGGGACCTTATACAGACAGGTGTATGCCTTTTCAAATCATGTCTAATCAACTAAATTTACCACAGGTGAACTCCGATTAAGCTGCTCAAACATCTCAAGAATGATCAGTGAAAACAGAATGTAGCTGAGCGCAATTTAGAGCTTCACAGCAAATTCTGTGAATACTTATGTCCATGAGATTTTTTTTGTTTTGTTTTGTTTTTTTTTTTAATAAATTTGCACCAATTAAAAAAAATAAATAAAATTTTTCACATTGTCATTATGGCATATTGTGTGTAGAATTTTGAGGAAAAAAATCATTTTAATCCATTTTGGAATAAGACTGTAACATAAAAAAATGTGGGAAAGGTGAAGCGCTATGAATACTTTCCAGATGCACTGTATTTTGTAAAATGCTAAACATAGTGAACATATTATAGAGTTTGTGGTGGTATAAGTGGACTGTCACGCTAGTTTAAAACAGTGTATAGATTGTCTTCTTTTAAGGGTCAGCTCAGGCATATTTAGCATTTGCTGCCTTCCATCAAGCAGCAGGTATAAATTTTATATGCTGTTCATTTTGTTACCATAAAATTGGTGAAGTGGATCCTGAAAACCTTTTATGTGAAATGCCATGAAATACAAGCAGGAGTGACAAGAGTATGAATTCACATGACTTGACATTTTTGCATTTCCTCAAGCTGACAAGTAAACACTTTAAATCAGTAATGCTATATGCATAATGCATTGGCCCTGTTTTGACATCCATCGACTGGAGGAAAATGCAAGCGTATAGTTTTTTACAGTGACAAACAGAACGCAGGAATAGATTCAGGTCACAAAGTTTTCAAAGGGCTGTGGGGTTTTGTTCAGGGGTTGTCCTTCTTTTCAATGGGGAAGTTCAATTGACTACCTTTCTCTCTATAGCTCGAAACAAATAAAAAAGAACAGAGAGAGTTTGTCTTAAATGTGCAGAAAATAATGCCATCTCTTGTGTGAATTGTGAAGACATCAAATATGCAGTGACAGTCACAGTTAAATAATAAAAAGAAGCTGGTGTATATAAAAACCAAATGGAAACTAAAAAAACAAAAAAAAAAAACAAGCAATGATACTGCTGGTTGTATTGATTAACTGTTTCATTATGTTGGATAAATGTACAAATGTTACACATTATAAAGCATCTAAACAATTCAATGACTGAATATATGCAAAGATATTTTTGATATTAAAAAAATGTGTTCATATTCTGTCATAAAATAGACAAAATATGATATATTTTTTTCAATGTTATATCGTCTGTTGAACACAAAACTAAATTTTGAAGATTGCTGGTTGCCGAGACCCATCAATTTGCAAATAGGAATCATAACATTTATAACCATCATAAAATTATGTAGCAATATGTGAACTTTTTGGATTTTTGGAAGCTATGGAAATTAAAAATGCAATACAGAAAATACGTTAGGACCGTTGTTATTGTTGACACCCCCCAAAATGGTCTATAGAAGTCAAAAGGTCTAGGGGCTGGTTGTACGTAGCCTAGTTGTGACTTAAAGGGAGACTAAATTACAACTTACACATTACTAAATGTTTATGTTGCACCACTGAACTTAGTTTAAACGTGACGCTACGTTCCAACCAGTGCCTATTTTGTGAATTGAGAGGTTAGTAGAGGTGTCGTTGAATAAAGTAAAGGGGGGGGTGTTGTGGAAAAAAGTGAAGACCAGGGGGTGGCGCGGACGGAAGTGAAGACGGTTGGGGAGTCCTGGAAGAAGTGAAGAGCGGGCGAAGGGTGGTGCGAGGAGGGGGATAGGTAAAATGAGGTGCATAAATTAAGCCCTGGTTTCAACTAGATATTTACAGCAGCCTCCTCCCATGATTAACGGTAGACAAGTGATGATTACCAGATTAGTTTACATTGAGAAGTTCACGATCAATTGAAGAATGGTCTTTTCAACACAATCTCACGACAATTTGTAAGTTTTTGATTTAGTGGCTAATTCGTATGAATTCGTTTGATCCAATTCGTACAAGTTAGTACGATTTGCTCATCCCCCAAAGACGGTTTGGTTTAGGGGTGAGGTTAGGTCCCACACCTTCTTTTAAAATCATACAATTTCGTACGAATTAGCCACTAAACTGGCAAATACTTTTGCATTTCTCATGATATCAGGCTGGTCTTGCTTTTTATTTATTTTTTTATTTTTTATTTTTTTTGCGAAAGAAGTGTTTAATTTTCTACTAAGAGATCTCAAACGTGCTGGAAGTTAAGTTTATGTATGGTTAGAGTCAGCGGTCTTGTTAGGGACCTGAGAGGTGAGATCTTGTGGTTTATTATAATGTACTGGTCGTAGCTCTAATGATCTGACGAATTGCACAATCAACCACCAAGCATATTTATATTTATACATAAATAAAACTTCAATAGGGCAGCGTGGTGGTTTAGTGGTTAGCACTGTTGCCTCACAGCAAGAAGGTCGCTGGTTCGAGTCTTGGCTGGGCCAGCTGGCATTTCTGTGTGTGTTTCCGCCGGATGTTCTGGTTTTCCCCACAGTCCAAAGACATGAGCTATAGGTGAATTGAATAAAGTAAATTGGTGTGTGAATACAAGAGTGTATGGGTGTTTCCAAGAACTGGGTTGTGGATAAACGGCTATCCACCTCATAAAACATATGCCGTAATAGTTGGCGGTTCATTCCACTTGGGCAACCTTGGATAAATTAGAGGCTAAGCCAAAAGAAAATGAATTAATGAATAAAACTTCATTAGACATTATATGAACACCTCCTGCTCAGTAATCTTAAGAATTGTCTGTGTGTAAAAGAACTGAATGCAGAAAAGAGCATATCTCTAAATATTTGCACTGAATTAATATATACATAAACACACCTATATACACATGTAGTGATGTAAAAGTGAAAGTTTATTTTTAAATAAACAGTCATGAAAACTTCGAAGACTTTGTGTAAATTTAAATACTTCAAAAACAATTTGGAGTCTAAACTGTTTTATAAATATATTTAAACATTCCTCTAAAATTGCCTTGTGCAATGTAAACTTTTGCATAGTTTTCAGATTATAATATGTAAATATAATGACATTTTTTAAAATACATTTTAAGCTGAATTAAACAGTTTGGGGTTTACAGCATTTAATAGCAACTGTAATTTGCAAATAATAAGTATTACAATTTAACTGCATTGTTGAAGACACCTAGTGTGTTAAAATTGTCCAGTATCAGACCACAAACTTTTAATTTTAATCATTTTAAAGAGCATTTTTATTCCAGTCTGCTCACATCTCACTCGGTCTTGTGCAACTTTTTGTTTATTGTTGCACATACATACAAACCTTAAAGTCATGCTGTAAATTCTGCCTTTGTTTGTTGTTTCCAATGCTAATGCATTATGTAGCCTGGACTTTGTGTATTTTATTCAAAGGCCCCTAAAGCACTTTTAGTAGTGCCCTGTGTAGTACTTTCTCCTGGCAAAAGACTCGCTGATTTATTTAATAACACCTTCTGTGCAAGTTTAACAAACCGCACAGAAACTGCAAGGTGCTGAGGGCAATGCTATTTATTAAGATGATGTATTATGATGTAATTGCTTACACCTGCAGCTTATATCTCAACTTTTTTATATACATTTTTATATGCGCACTATCTGACAAAAGTATTGACAAAAGTCATCTATCCCAGTTGTAAAAGCAACAAATAATAACTTGATTTCTAGTTAATCATTTTTAAGTGTCCGAAGGTAGATTTTTCATAAGAATCATGTTGAACTGCATCCTAATCATCACAAATACTGCAAAAGACCTTGGAGAACCCGCAAAGACCCAAGATTCTCACAGAAATCAGTCAAGTTTGGTGAAAAATCACAATTTAGGGTTACATTTATTATGGGGGCATGCGAGAGATCTACAGAGTGGATGGCAACAACATCCTGAGGTATCAAGACATTTGTGCTGCCCATTACATTACAAACCACAGGAGAGGGAAAATTCTTCAGCAGGATAGCACTCCTCCTCATACTATAGTCTCCAAATCAAAGTTCTTGAAAGCAAAAAAAGGTGCTCCAGGCTTGGCCAGCCCAGTCACAAGATATGAACATTATTGAGCATGTCTGAGTTAAGATGAAGGAGGAGGCATCGAAGACGAATCCAAAGAAACTTGATAAACTCTGGGAATCATGCTGAGATGACTTAGCCTTTCATATAAGCCACTTCTGATACCAAATGATCCACTAGAAGTCAAGTTATTATCTGTTGTTCATAAAACTTGGATAGGCAACAAGACTTTTTAACGTAGTGTGAGTAATTTCATCAATAAGAATGAATTAGAATTTGTCTGCCAAGGTAGAGGGGCAATCTAGGAGTGAAAACAAACAAATCGTTATTTCTATTGATGCAAACGTTTACTTGGGAATAATCTGCGAGCAAGAAAATGAGTTAATATGGTCTAATAAATAATAAAGGACAAAAAGCGGTCTAATAGACTGTGCTAGTAATGGAATAAATCTTTATTACACAGCATTGCTTAGCTGTTGATCATGGCAGATGTTGAGTAAAACTAATTAAGAGACCAGTAATGAGCAGGTCTGCTTGGCAAATGTGCACAGATTTCCCAAGAACTATAAACCCATCAGTAACGAAATTCTATATATTCTTGTCGTCTCCAGCTATTTTATTGGATATTTAGGCTAATTTGATTATGCTTTCAGTCGCCAAAAATACTGCACATGTTATGGTGTTCAAATCCACATAATTCCCTAAAATCACAGTTAAGCGTAGTCAATTTCCATCTAGGCCTGGTAATAATATATTCTTCACATGCTTAAACAGTATGATTAGCATCCATTATCATGCGCCACAGAGGGGATACGCTCTTCACACAGCACTAAACACTGTTCAGCATTAGCCTTTGGGACGATATTGGACAAATTTCATCCGAAAGCTGTCATTCCGAAGCTTTAAAACCATCTTTCTGTGTAAAAAGTGGATGCTCAATAATGGTTGAAATGTTAATTGTTGTGGGCCAGCTTGTGCGGTGTGTGTAATTTACGTAATGAAGAGCAGCTGAGAAAGTGAAGCTGCTGATTTGTACAGTCTGTTTAATGATGATGAATCCTGATGGGCACAAGAGGGTTACATGTTTATCTGAATGCATAAACAATCTGTTCGAGTCAATTTGTCGGCAAACAAATCTGCCGCGGTCCAGCAATTGGAGGCAAATACGCAATCTGCATAGAAACGTTAGGGCTGTTATTTGGGGGGGTTTGGTCAGAGCTGTGATTACAGGGGAAGATATAATACACTTGCTCAAAATTGCAAGCATAATTTAATAAATAATGGATATAGAGTGGAGTTAAAAATTACAAAACAATTTATGAACACTTAAATTTTTTTTTACAGTAATAATGCAGTATTCATTGTTCAAAATTGAATCAAAGTTTTCATTCATTAATTTTCTTTTTGGCTTAGTCCCCAAAAGATTATTATTAATCCGGGGTTGCCACAGCAGAATGAACCGCCAACTTATCCAGCATATTGCTTTACGCAGCGGATGCCCTTCCAGCCGCAACCCATCACTGCAAAATCCATACACACTTATTCACACGCATACACTACAGACAATTTAGCCTACCTAATTCACCTAAACCACATGTTTTTGGACTTATGAAGGAAATCGGAGCACCTGGAGGAAACCCACGCGAACACAGGGAAAGAAGTTTTGTTGTGCCTCTTTGCTGCTGATATGTTTTATCAAAAACATAAAAACTATTTATTGTGTAGAAAACCTGGTGATCAGAATTAGAGGACAGCAATTATTGTAGCTTACCAGGAAGAAAGTTCTAAAACTCAAAAGTCATTTTTTACTCACCCTGGACTTGTTCCAAACCAGTGATTTTTTTTTTTTTTTTTTTTTTTTGGTTGAACACAATACATTATACAGTATATTGAAGAATGTTAATGAAGATTGAGAAACCTGTAACAATTGAACCACCTGACTTCCACTATATTTATTTGTCTTATTATGGATATTAATTTTTTACAGTTTTCCAACATTTTCCAACATTCTTCAAAGATATTCTGTATCTTCTTCTGTGTTAAACAGACATTTTTTTTTTTTTTATTTGGGGGTGAAATCTCTAAGTCATTCCACAGTTCACTGATTATAGTCGTTTTAAGCCATATCTTTGTCACCAAAGATTTTAAAGATTAGATTTAGGTCAGGACTCAAGGCTGCCATTTTCTTATTTTAATGTTTTCAATGTCTTTATTTTGAACAAAGCTTTTATGTGACTCGAGAACAACAAGTCCTCTAAGGAAGTAATTAATTGATTCGTGCATGCGCACTATTGTCCAGGTGGAGGAAAAAATGAGTACATTTTTTGTGTCCTCAATCGGGCTTGAATCAATTGTTCATCATAAAAGTTGAAATTGAATGAATTGAACGAAATGACTCAAAAAAAAAGATTTGTTTATCTCAATAAACCAAACTTAAAGTTTAGGTTTGGGGTTCACTACATTTTGAGTTCACAACCAAATCAGATTTTTTAAATCATATTTTGTGCTGGGATTTTTTTTTTCTTTTTTATAATCAGTTATACACAGTTTCTGAATCTTTCATCCGACATAAACATTTTGTGATTGGAAGGTAAGGATTACATTTGGGGTGTCCATACCTTTGACATACTACCAGTCTCAGATCACAATCAATTCAATTGCTGAATTATTATATATAATTATAATTATACAATTAGGATTAGATTAACATTATTTCCTCTTTCTTAAACAAATGCACCATTGCTCTGACTCAATATTGTTTTGCAATTTTCCTCACAACAGATTAATGACTACACATCGAACTCCATGCCCAAGGCTTGTGTGTGTGACTATACTTCGAGATAATGTTTTTGGATTTGTCTAACAATTGTTATGGCTGTATGGTATGTACAGAATATGGAATCATTAATTTGAAACGTTTTGAGTTTTGATTCATGTAATGTTTAACATAAATGTTATTTATTAAAATAAAACTTAAAGGTTTTAAAATGTTTGATTCAAATTTAAAGAACTAATTTCCATCGTCTATGAATAGAGATTTATATAAATTCAAGGCAAGTAATTAAGTTACTTGGAGTAATGGAGTTACTTTTCAAAGTAATTAAAAAAACTTATCAAAATACATGTTTAATAATGCAAATAGTAATGAATTACTTTAATTTGGCAGTGACTTAACCAACACTTCCTCCAACTTTTCAACTCATTTAATTTTTGTATTCTGTGATTCTGCATGCGTAACTCATGCAATATGCTTAATAATAGTTGCTTTTTAACTCATGTTGGTAAAATCTAAAATAGGACAGAGCATTGACCTTGATATTTAAAAATTGCACATTACTCTATAATTTTTTTATCTCCACTGTATATGAAATGGAAATTCTAAAATGTAGGTATTTGCTTCCATACAGTGTCTAAACATACACATCGCATGTGCTTTTATTCAGTGGCAATTCTTTTCACTAGTTTAATATTAAACCATCAGGGCATATAATTGGACCTTGTTGTTTTTGAAAGCCCACAGTTTCACAGTCTAAAGCTCTTGAGGGACTTCATCTGCATGCTGAAGTATTCTTGGCCACTCCCTACCTTGGGAATTAGCCTGCAAGACCCCAATGCTGTCATCAAACTGCATAGATTTGATGTTAAGAGATGCCAAGATGCATTCCTTGTCCTGCAGTGAAGCATCGTCGATATTGTTCTGATTGGCTGACAGGATAACGCACATGTCGCAGAGGTTGATGTTGACGGCCCTTAAATCAGCTCGACTTAATGGCGTACCCTTCAGCAGAGAGAGAGAAGAAAAGAGGAGGATGAAAGAGAGAAACAAATTAAAGACAGCGCGGGAGCTCAAGGAAATTAGTTAACAAGTATTTACTTTTCTAAAGGCAGTGACATTCAGCTGATCTAACTATGTGCTGAGGGAAGAAGAGATGTAGTCTAATCTAAAGGCTAGCCTTTGCTGACGGCAGCTTTAAGGCTCCGTTTTTCATACTCAGTCAAGCCAACGCTAACAAGCACTAGAGCAAGAAACCAAGTAAAAGATTCACACGGAACCTGCTGCACTTAAAAAAAATGGCACTTTTTAATGCAAAATAATTGTAAAAGTAAACATGCTGCAAAATAATGTCCTACTCGAGTCACATGAATGCATTATATTTACAGACAGCTCATTGTTCAATGCATGCACTCACAGGTAAGATGAAGACTTTGGGGAAGTTGTGAAGGGTTTCCCACTCTCTTCGCAGATAATCTAACGAGCCCACAAACACAATGGGCTTTAGCTCATGGTAATGGAAGTTGCTTGCTCTCAAAGGCATGACTAAGTTTCGAAGCCCCACTAAAGCTGACGTGACATCTCCAAATATGCAGACTACGACATGTCCACTTAAAACCGTCATTGAGGCCTCGCTGCGTGTCTGTGGTAGGGAAAAAAGAAAACAAACAAGACATTTACAATCTCATCACCAAGAAGGAAAAAAACATCTCATTTACTGTCATCCAAGTACAACACAAGATGAAGCAGTTATGTATTGTTTAAAATAAAAAGGATTTTTTTGCAATATAAAATGCATCTAATAAAGGTGGTCAAAATGGATTTCATTTAGTAAAGACAAATGTGATCAGGAAAATAACCATTTAAAGAAAAAGAAAAGCAATGTATATGAAAAAATGTATATATGTATCCGTTTTCAGTGAACATAGATCATATATTTAACAAAGCAGTTTAATTAAACAGTTATATTTATTAAAATAAGAGTTTGGTCAATGAACATATTTAGTAATTGACATTTAATACATTTAAATTAATATTGGGTAGTTGTTTTTAACTTAAACTGTATTGTGTTTAGTAAACATGATTATCAACAATAGTAATAAAAAATTATCAAAATTGACTTATACATATATATATATATATATATATATATATATATATATATACATAGTTGAAGTCAGAATTATGAGCCCCTCCCCCACCTCCCCTATATAATTCGCCCCCCTGTTTATTTTGTCCCCCAATTTCTGTTTAACAGAGAGCAGATTTTATCAACACATTTCTAAACATAATTGTTTTAATAACTTAATTCTAATAACTGATTTATTTTATCTTTGCCATGATGACAGTAAATAATATTTTATTAGATATTTTTCAAGACACTTCTATACTGCTTAAAGTGACATTTGAAGGTTAACTAGGTAAATTAAGCTAACTAGACAGGTTAGGGTAATTAGGCAAGTTATTGTATAATGATGGTTTGTTCTGTAGACTATTGAAAAAAAAAAAAGATAGCTTAAAGGGGCTAATAATTTTGACCTTAAATTTTTTTTTTAAAAACTGAAAACTGCTTTTTTCTAACTGAACTAAAACAAACACGACTTTTTCGAGAAGAAAAAAACATTATTACACATACTGTCAAAATTTCCTTGCTCTGTTAAACATCGTTTGGCAAATACTTAAAAAAGAAAAAATCAAAAGGCGGCTAATAATTCTGACTTCAACTGTTTATACACACACACACACACACACACACACATTTCAACTAAGTTTTATATTAATTTCAATTATTTTATATGCTCTCAATTTTTCCTCTTTATTAAAATTGTTTTTAAGATTTTCCCCTAACATATTAAATTATGTATTAGTAATATTACATATTACACATTTTTGAACAGTTTTGTTAGATTAGCTCCAGATTTTGCTTTGATAGTGACTAATCTAATGCATATGTACACACATTACATTGCATGTTTACCATCCTATAGATATTTAAACAAATATCTGTGAGGGGTGTACTCTTTTATTCCATATATTGTATATACACTATTTCAGACACATATCAGACCACAAATGTGTAATGGCAGGGGTATAACAAAAGTATTACAAGGAGATGGTGAAATATGAGGACACTGTCTATGTCCCCATTTTTTTAAAAGGCTTATAAATCATACAGAATGAGTTTTCTCAGAAAGTAAAACTGCACACGGTTTCCTGTAAGGGGTACTGTTAGGTGCAGGGTTATGGTAGGACAATAGAAAATTACTGTTAGCACAGCACAAAAACAATGTGTCCCCTCAAAAGCAAACCTGTGTGTGTTTTAGTTGTTGCACTGATTTATTTAGTCTGATATATCAGTTATGAACAAACAAATTGCACATATTATGGAATGTTAATAAAATTTCGCATTATATGACTTTTTTATTTTTTATTTAGGGAAATATTAAAACATAATAACAACCTACAGTGTCCCCACAATTTACACACACACACACAAAAACATTGTGTGTTTTAGTTGCTGCACTGATTTATTTAGGCTAATTTATCAGTTATGCACAAAAATTACATAAATATTATGGGATATTAATAAAACTTTTCATTATATGTCCTTTTTTATTTAGGACAATATAAAACATAATGAAAACATACAGTGGCCCTACAATAAATAAAAAAAAACATTGTGTGTTTTAGTTGTTGCACTGATTTATTTAGGGTGATATATCAGTTATGCACATAAAAAATGCATACATATCATGGAATGTTAATAAAATCTGGTATTATATGATATATATATTTAGGACAATATAAAAGCATAATGTTTTAGTTGTTGCACTGATTTATTTAGGGAGACATATCAGTTATGCACAAAATACAATGGTTTAAATACTTTAAATACTATGGGATTTTAATAACATACTGCATTATATGACATTTTGAAAAAAGGGGGAACATTTTGATACAAAGAACATTCACAAATGGATGTTTTCTTTTTTTGATCAAACTGCAGTCAGAAAGGTACCTACCAGAATGACCTTCTCGATTTCTTTGGATGGACACCAGTGAAACATTCCAGTAGAGTCGTATCGTTTGACATTAGCATCCATGCTCTCAATCTGCTCATTTCCTGGAATGAGTAGAGGATCATGCCTAACAAAAAAAAAAAAAAACACAAGGAAAAGAAAGTGTGAAAGGAGAAAACACGTACGCTTGCCCTTATTTGCAAATGCAGGTTAGTAAAAGTGCAACTGTGGCGATTTATCTTCTCGGCTTAATTGTGACATTTGTCATAGGACAAACTTTCAGCACATCTCACTAGACGTCTATTGACAATAAATAAGCAGTAAACAGGCCTCTGCTGACACGGCTTGTCATTGTCAGATTGAATTTGTGCATTGGACTCCATCATAAGCGCAGCTCTCTCCGGGCTGCCAGGACTGCGGAGTCATCAAAGCGTCCGACCGCTGACAGCACTGGAGTGGAAGAGATCGCAAGCCCGAGCACTTCAGTGACTGAGTGGCACCAGAATGGGACGCCAATTACCGGCTTTTACTCCGCATCGCTCCTGACGTGATGCGTCCAACGGTAAAAGCTTTAACAGAGCCGCACTTTAAATATTTTAGGAATTTGCCCAATCACATTTTGCTCCCCCAAACTGAAGGCCATTAATGTTTCAGAAGCATGTCACGTCCAAACAGTCTAACCTATATCAACGCGTCCTGCTGAAGCTGATCTAGGGAGTGTGTTGACCGTGAATGAAGGCCCAGTAGATGAGTACAGCTTGCTTTTATTTCCATGAAGCTTGATAAACTGCTGGGAAGCTGAACTATACAACTGAGAAATAAATTTCACAAACTGAATTTACGGCCATGTTAATTGGATGTCTAGGAGGTTTGGAATGAATGGCAAGTCAAAAAAGTAGTGAAATGCCATGAACCTGTTATGGCTGCATTTTACGCAATAACAGCAGATTTCTGGGTGATGAGAACATGCATGTACTGTGGTTTTGTCTTGATTCTGGTCCAACTATCTACAAATTCTTAAATAAAGAAGCATTTTTTAGACAAGTAAAAATATTAGCCTCTTTCATACAGTAATACCGGTAAATATTCAGAAAATGTCCGGTGTTGGTCCGCAAAATGCACCCCCTCTAATATTGCATACTTAGACTACATTTAAACAAAATCAAATATCAAATGTAACATGATTATTATTTTGACAGATAAAGCAAGGACAAAAATTTTAACGTATTTTAAAACGCATTAAATAAATGTAAAATAATAATATTGACTGCAGTGTAGCCTAAAATTTTGCTTTTTGTTGGGCTTTAAACAGACATTTAGTCTGCATGAAACATAAAACTGTTGTTGCCATTTTACATTAATCCACACATTAAACAATTAACTTAATCTCATAGGTATTGTATTTAAAGTCAATCTATTTATTTATTTACTTATTTTTATATCTTTTATCCCCTTATCCTCTAAGGGAAGTCTTCCATTCTTGAAACTCACCTCAGTCAATCTCATTAGTGTCATAACTCTATTGTTATTATTTGTTTATCAATTTCAGTTAATAGATGCTCATTTCAGAGGGGGTGCATTTTACCGCAGGGGTGCACCTCCCAGCACAACACTGGCAAATTACCGGTAATGTTACCACTTCTCCTTCTGGAAAATTGCTGGAACGAATTTACAGATATTTCTGTTCACACATAATCCCTTTCCAGAAAAGTGCCAGTAATTTTACAGAAAGGTCTGTACGTGTGAAAAGGGGTATTGTCTTGTTCTAAGAAATAATGTATTCAAATTGAGTGAGTTTTTTCTTAAAACAAGCTAAATAATCTGCCAATAGGGTAAGAAAAATAATCTTGTTTTTGATTTAAAATAAGATTACTTTACATACCCCATTGGCAGATTATTCTGCTTGTTTTAAGAAAAAAAAAACTCACAAAATTTTGGCATAGTATGTCTTAAATCAAGTCAATAAGTTTTGCTTGTCTAGAAAATGCTTCTTGATTTAGAAATATTTAGACATTCAGACTAGAAACAAGACAAAAATGGAAAGAAAAGCATTTTTGCAGTGTAAATGGAAAACTAAAACCACTGATAGCTAAAAAATATTTTAAATATATAAAAAATATATAGTTAAAAAACTTTTTAATGCAATTATTTAAAATGTCTGTCTACTCTTACCTAATCTAAATGTACATGTTTAATGAAAAAGCAATAAGACAAATAAAAATAATTTTTTTGGTTATTAGTATGTGTTCTACGATTTTATTTGTACAGCAGATATTAAAACATTGAAATGTATAACACGCATAAAGAGAAAATAATAATAAATAAAATAATTAATATGAATGATTAAAATAACAACTAGAAATGATAAATAATGTAGTTATTCACAATGATTTTATGATTCACTTGTCGGTACAAATTCAATTGCAATGAAAATTGCAATGACTAAAGTTTGGACATCATCTTTTGTAAAGGTGTGTGCTATTGGAATAGTTTTCGATTTGTGCAAAAGCTGTAAAATATTTAATAATAATAATAATGAGGTGCAAAAATAAGCAAATAGGATCCATATACTGATATATCATATAGATATAAAAAGCAATCAAAGACATATTTATTTGTTTTTTTTAACCAAGGAACAAAACCAAATTCAAAACCTGAATAATTATATAGAAATGATTTACTTTTAAAAAATGTTTCGATTCATTTCTGTGTGGTTTAGATTATTTTAGCGCAGGTATTTTACAATTTGTTTCCCCTCAGTGACTCTTGAATTGATACTCCATTATTTCTGAGGGCAATTTCTGAGAGAGACCACAGAACCCTTGTAAATGCATAAAACTGTCAACTAAAACCCACCGTGCAGCACGTTACCAGGCCTGAAACAGGCCAGAAAGGCTGCCTTTGAGGAAATGGCCTCAGGGCAGACAACAAAGCCCCATCTCTGAGACGAGGCTGCAGGGGAACAAGAGCTCTCACAGCAGACTCGACCCAATGTCATCCACTGCGCTACATTAACATTAACATTTACAAAAGAACTTCAACAAAAATGCATTTTCCTTTAAAATAAAGTTCCATGTCAAATATACTGATGACGAGAAAAATTTGAATACAATTTAAAACACTTTATACCGTATGTTTTCATTTATTTGTCTTGTTTTTAGGACCATTTATTTTGAAAATAAAAAGTTATATCTTTTTAGATATAACTTTAGTTATATCTATTGTGCTTTTCTTGGTTTTGGTATTTGTTTCTATTAAAAAAAAAATATATATATATATATATATATATATATATATATATATATATATATATATATATATATATATATATATATATATATATATATATATATATATATATTATTATTATTATTATTATCATTATTATAAATTTTTTTGTATTGGTTTTGATGATGACTGAATGTAAATTTTTCATTTTGTTTGTTGGACCTGAGGAAAAATAGCCACTACGTTGGGGATTTAAAACACATATACTTGGTAATAGATTTGGTAGCATAAATCTATTTTTATTGCGACATCGCAACACTATTACAAAACAAATTGTGACGTAGCATTATCTTTGTTGGTGTCTTTTTAACAAAAGAGAAGAAAAAAAGGGGAAATAAATAAAATAATGAGGGGTAAAGAAAAATAGAAACAAGAGTAATAAAAGTGTACAAAAAATGCAACAAACTGAATGCAGTCATTCAACAATCACAATCAAATGTTTATATATTGTTTATATGTTGTCAATGTTAAAAGTTAATATTAACAATTAAACAGTATAAGATAATAATACTTAAAAACAAACAAAAAATGTATTACTACAAAATAAATAAATGAAAAGGAAGAAGAGTGTGTCTATTAACTGGAAGGCATGTTGTTAAAAGAATTAAAGAAAGTTATAAATCATTGCCACTTTTTAAAGCAACCAGTTTTCCCAGAACATCTAACCTTTCCCAACTTTAGAAAATACATGGTATCTACAAGCCATTGGGATGTAGTGGGAGGTTCACATAAAAAGCTAAACCAAATAATAAAAGAAAAAGAGCAATAGTGCATAATTTACATTTTTAAATGCAAAGTAATTGTGAAAAATATTTATTTACATATAATCAAGCAAACCATTTGTTGGCATTTATTAATTTGCATTTATTAATCTGTCTTAAAGTATTAAAATGTCTTAAATCACAATATTAGCAGAGCTGATTTGACCAATCCGAAGAAAATATAATCCCTTACCCTATATATTAACAATTAAAAACATCTGGATGGGACAAAATATTTAGCACTGCCTTTCATTTTAAAGTTAAACATTAAAAATATTTACATAAATCAGCCTTAGATGCAACTTAGTACACATGTGGACACACATATGATAGAATAAACATATGTTATATTTTATAAATACTTAAAACTTTGTTTCCACAAGAGGGTTAGGCAATAGAGCTAGACAATATATCATTTGGGCATCAATATCACAATGTCCGCAATAGTCACATCGCAGGGTTAGATTATTCATTAAACATTAAAAGATAAAGATATTATTAAACATTATTCAATCAAATTATTTATACAATGATGACCATGTTATTTTATGTTTGATTGTTCGATTTCTATATTTGAATAATGTTAAGAAATTCATAAAGCGCTGTTTGTTTGACTTTTATTTTTGCTCTGTTGTATTTATATGTGCTTGTAATTCATTAGATTTTAAGCAGACACACTGCGTAATTTACTTAGGCATCCCCCCCAGTTAATCTAAAAGAATAAGATCTTTCCAAATAAAGCTAATCAAGTCATCTGGTGGGACTAAATTTATATTGCAATACATACACGCAGAATACATAAGACTTGATTTCAGATATAATTTTTTTGCTCATGACTAGGCCCAAATGAAATCTGCGCATGCAGAAATCCGCAGATTTTTAGCCTATAGAGTCTATTTATTTACTTATGTAAATGTAAATATTCAATGTAATACATTTATATTTATATAAATTTTTTAAACAAATTTCATTAATATTATTGTGATATAACAGTAGTAATCTATTGATTTATTTACAAGACAGTTTGTAAAGTAAAATGTTCCATATTTTAGTAGATATATTATGGGAGAGACTTGCT